CGGAAGTGCTGTTCGGCAATTTGGACGAACTCTGTTGTGTCACTTATGCCTTCTGTAAAGAGTTTCTCAATGTTATCCTCCAATACGTGAACACCAGTACAGAAGTCAATCCCACAGATATTTTAGTCCGACTCTTCCAAAAGGTTTGTACATATAATCCGATTAACTCTACTCTTCGCTAAATTCACATAAAAGACATTTACAACTAATGCACGCCTCGTATGACTCGATAAATCAATTCGATATATATTTGTTGTGATTTTCATTTGTTATATTCTCTGAAAACAAAAAACAAATTCACTTCTCAATCAATATATTAATGATTGTATATATGATCGCAACGCAGAGCTCGAAAGCCACTTCCCTGACACAGGCCTATCATCGCTATACTCTTAATTACATCAATGCTCTCAACTATTTGGAGACACTTAGACGTCAGGTCGAGTTCAACGAGTTTGAAAAGGTATTGTTTGCCACAAACTATTTATCTAATAGTTTTTACCGTAAATCGTTTTACTGTAAATGCTTTCAATTTCACATTATTATTGGCACTGAAATCATGATAGGTTTGCGAAATGTGATTATTCTGAATATACACGAGAGTGTTGTGAATTATTTGGTCATAAAATTTTCAGTTTATTGCTATATTGGGATGAAATAACTTTTTTTGTAAAGATCTTATATTTTTATATATTTGGATTCGTTTGAATTTAATCGCTTATAAATCTAATTATAATAAAAATAAATCACAAATTGTTGTGAAGTTAAACAAATTATATTATAAGCAAATCGTGTGCAATAATGCATTCTGAGTGAACGTGAAAATATCTAAATGCCAAACAAGTCCTTAACCTTAACCGAACATTAGATTTAATGTTAAACGATATAGATAAATATTTTTAGATTATGAAATTATTTTCATTTATTATGATATATAATTGAATAATAAGATTAACAGATATGATTATTCTACTGTTATCAAGTAGAATTCGCTAAAGCCATCACCTTTAGTATCAAAAACATTGAGATTGAATTTCTAAATGGGCTTTAACTCTATCCTCACTTCTACAGAGTCTGTAGTGATTATCGTGTTGTCACACCTGAAGTGAAATCTAAAAATAAAATTCATTAAATGCTTTATAACAAAAAGATTTTAAAAAACCAGAAATAATCGATTTTCTTGTAGTGTTTTTCGTCGGAAAATATATCCTAAAAGTTGTGTTTAATTTAATAAGAATTGCTGAACACGTGAATTGATTTCATTGGAAGACATAGTATTAGAAAGTGATTTACAATTTCTAATGTCTCTCACGAGTCATGACAACCACTTGAGTGACAGCACAAAAAGGTATCGATTTTAGGCCACAATCTATCGATTCTTCTTATGATCGAAATTCTGGCGAATCTATTCTGTATTGTGTCTGATGTTTAGCACTACTTATTTTGAACGACAATTCTTATGAATGCCATAAAAATCGATAGAAAATAATTATTTTCACAATAAATGAAATTCTGTTATATAGAGATATACATTAGTTGGAAGAGAAATGAACTTCTAATTAGATCCCAATACCAAACATATGATAAAATATTCCGATAAATTCAAAAGTAGAGTGTCTTTAAAAAAAAGATTTTCAATTTGAAATTCTGTAGAGAATAGTAATTAATGTTTTAATGAAAATAATGGAAATGAACGTAGAATTGGAAACTAAACTAAAGTAAAGACCAGAAATAAAGTCAATTAAGTTAAAGGAAATAATTGCATAAATTTGAGTTATCATGAATTGAGCACTTATTGAAATGACATTTGACTTAATTATTTGTTTTGCTGTTTTGTGCGGATATTTAGTGGTGTAACCGAGACTCCCGGTGTAAAAAGCTTCAGCTCACGGATCTATTAGTATCGCCGGTTCAGCACATAATGCGCGTCCCATTGATATTGAAAGACATCGAAATACGAACCGACGGCTTATTCGAGAAGGAATCGATTACAGCGATCATAGAGTCGGAGGAGAACTCATTGCGCGAATTGGACGACAAAATGAAATGGTTGAAGAATTTTGAACGACTTCTGGAGATCCAGCGCAACATTGTCTGGCCCTCAGTCTTCGATCTCGACCCTAAGGTCTTCATTCCGGAAGTAATTCGTGTTTTATCACTTATTTTATTATTTTTATTCAACAAAAACATGATTTTCTATTTGACGCTAGATTTATATTTTTCATATAACATTATGTGATTTGAATATTGAAATATATATAATTAGGTTAATATTTCAGATATACTCTGCTTTTTTTAAAAAAATTGCTAGCAATTTGATTATTGCTGTTATTCTGTTTTATTTCATTGTTTTTGCTTTTTTGGTAAAACATTAACAGAAATATCAAACAATAGACTTTCTGTTGAGTTGAGTTAAGAAGTAAATTCTTTTGTCGATAGTTTTTTTTGTTCAAATGATATTAAGAAATAAGATTTGTTTGTTTGGCATAAAAGGCATATTATTCTGTATTTATTGTCAAATCACATTATTTTACACTTTTCTTGTTATGGAAATGTTTGAATCAATGCTACTATCGATTCAATCAAATTGATTGGGTTTCGACTCAAAGGATTACCATTTTTAAGACTCAAACTAAATAAAGAATTCAAATATGAAATATTCTTAACTCTACTGTTATATAACAAACAAATATTAACATAAAACACGATCACAATTGTTGCTAATATGCTAACCAACCATATAGTTCCTGAAGGCGCCGCTATCCAAACAGCCCTGTGAACGACTGATCGTCAGCCCCAGGAGACAGATCATAATCGAGGGACCCCTCCATATACTGGACAGCGGAAAACCCATTGAAATGTATGTCATATTATTTGACGACATGCTTATCATTACTCGAAGGAAAAAAGGATTGCATAAAAAAGTGAGTTCTCATTACATCTCCCATTCAATGACTATTAGAAACAAGATTTAAACAAAAAAACTAAACCTAATTATTATGCAAACAATGTGTTCATTGCATAGCAATCATCGTTAACGGAAAAGTGGGCGTCGACTTGCAGTCGGGGCAGTAGTTTCACATCATCTCACGAGGGATTGTTTAAGTACGTGGTCTACAAACAGCCCCTCTCTCTCGACCGCTTCTACATTCATGACGTCCTGCCCGGCAGTGAAGGCACCGGTAATTGACATTTAAATCAGTCATATATTTTTAAACTAACCATCGATTTATCACTTTCTCTTAGCCACAAATTTGAAGAATGTGTTTGTATTGGTTTGTCTGAATCGCTTCCAACAGGTGGTCACTCTTCATACATTCCAGAGCTCTACCGAAAGCTCTAAAGTAAGTATCAAATAAAGTGTCAAAACATAGCAATCATTATTGTAATTGAATGCCGAACTGATCCATAGGTGACATGGCTTTCGAAGTTGAGGGACACCGCAGACAAATGGAAACGAACTCTTCAGAACACAGTATTCCGTAATCAGCAGCGATTGAGTAGCGGTAGTGTCTCGACGGCCGCCAGCTTTCGGGACAACTCGAGTACAACTCATACCATATCCACGCGATAATCACACTATCGGTTCATTAGATGATGTGATTATCAAGTTATCCATTTGTGACTCCATTTTATATAAGTTTCATAAACTTTTAGATAAGATTTTATGTCCCGATAAACCCAAACAACGCTTTCATATGTATCTCAAAAAGACTTATTTACAATAATTTTTTCGACAAATACCATAAGTCATGACAAAAACGAAGCCAAAAAACATATAAATATATCGAAATATTAGTTGTTTTATTAACTATTTTTTAAAACAAACGTTTGTTTCAAATTATTAATCGATGAATTATTTGTAATTTTAATTGTTTGAGTGAAAGAATTGATTTTAAATAATCGGTTCCCGTCTTATCGAGCGATTCATTAATTTAATAATCTATTCAATAATGAAAATCTTTATATTCGTTACAAAAAATTAAATTATAGTCAAATTTGTTTAGGTTTTTGTTTCGGTTATAAACTATTAATGGATTATTAAAATCAAACTTCAATTAACAACTGAATTGTGAGATAAGGCGAGAATTGATTATATGTTTATATATAATGTTTTATAAATATAGTTTATATATAGAATATAATGAATATTATAGTATATATTAAAGATAATTATAATTACTGTTAACTCATGTCATGTAAAACATAAACCATTAAAAAGATCTCAATTTAAGTTTTGGTATTAAATATATATAAATATAATGACAATCTGTTTGATGTGTCAAATGAATACAATTTATATTTTGTACAAATAATTACAATGTAATCAATACTTTCTATGAATAAAATTCGTTAATTCTATTCAAATAGCTTTTCACTAATTTTATTAACTCAATAAATCAATCATTAAAGCAGGCGTTTGCCCTTAACTACAGCTACCTGTACTCTACTGTATTTGTATCCAAACATCCGTACTATGCAGTAGTGTATGAAGTAAATGATGGCCAAACCTCTTCGATCGGCTCCTGTTCATTTAAGTTAGTATAAAATTTAATTAAATTTCATATAGATTAGATTTTTTAATAGAAAATATGGGACATTAAAAATCCTATTATTAGTTGTATGCGTGACTAACACTATTTGATAGACAAATGACAAAACATTTCAACATTTCAAACATGTACATACATGTAGGTACAATACTGTATTTATATCTTAATCTAACCATTTGTTTTGTAAAAAGCATGTTTGCAAGAATTTCCATAGAATAGCCCGCAACAGTTTACATTGTATAATACACTTATTATTCTGTCTATAATGTAATTAATATTAATAATTCAAATTCAATTCAATTATCATTAAAATAGTGTACAATGAATACAAATTTTGATCTCAATTTGATTGTCAACAATTTTCAGCAAACAAACAAATAAAAACAAAATGTTATGTAAACTTTACATTTCAAACCGAATACAGGTATAAAATTAATCATATATTTACACTATTTTTATAACCATTTCCGTAATTTTATTTGATTTAATGAAACAAATCATTTATTCATTCAAATAATTCATTTCTGAATATACAATTCAAAGTTGACATTAATTTTTAATCAAATGATTTGTTTATTATACTAAAGGATAACACAAATAGACTACAGATTATTGATTATAAAAAGTATTAATTCATCAAATTAAATCATCAAAAAATAATAATCGTTAAAATTCAGTGATTAAACACTCGATCAAACCAATGGATTAATTGGTTTAAGCGTTTGTCACTCCAATGACACCACAGGCCAGTCTATGCAATGGAAATCAGTTTAGAAATTATTTAAATCAGTTTATAATCAAAATAGTTTAGTAAAACAAACAACAATACCTTCCGCCGGCATTACCGGTAGTTTTGCTCAACTCATGTCCGCCTTTACCCAAATCATCGACGTCTGCGTGAATCTAATCATTCAATACAACAACAAATATCATTACAATTCATTCACAAAATACTAATCAATAAATTTTGATAAATAATTACCACAAGAGATCGACCGATAATGGAATTGGCGCCCGAGAGAGCTAACTGTTTGTCCTCAATGTTCACTTTGGCCACACCGTCGGCACCGGCGGTAACATTACCCAAATCGCCGACGTGTCGGTTGGCATCAGTGGGCGCCCCGTGTTCTTTGCCAAACGGGTTATAGTGAGGCCCAGCGCTCGTACAGCCGTTCGTGTTGTCACCAAATTCATGCACTAAACCATCATTTCATACATCAATCAATCAGTCAATCCAAACATACACTCAATTTAGTCAATAGATAATTACCGTGAAATCCGTGCTGTCCTGGAGTGAGACCCGACACACTGCCGGTCACCACCACTGATGAGCCCTACAAATGCAGATACAAAACGGTTTTTACTGTCAATTAATTGTCATATAATTCATAAGGAAACCAATAATCACTAAATGATTAAAAAATTTATTAAACACTTCAAGGCTGTAGTGAAGGCCAGACTGTACTGTAAAAAGCACTCAACAATTAGTGTACTTTTTTAGTGCATTAATGGCAAACACTTTACGTATAGATGTGTTCATTAAATACACTATTAATTCAAATATAGGCTTAAAAGAGGCCAAAACTAATTGCAAATCATATCAATAGTTAATCAATAAATAGGCGTTTGAATGGTTTGAATGGCATAAATAGTGGACACATTTGCGGACAACACCGGGTGTGAGACAATTGGCTTAAGTGGGTTGTAGTGGACATACCTTTTGCTCAAACTTGATGGTTCCCGAGACCTTAGGGTCACCTTTCAATACGACCACTGCTTTCACAGACATTGCAAACAATTTATTGTATTAATTATAACGGAGTTCACAATCAGTGGAAATGCGGTTCAAATGCTGTGACAGAGAGACAGACAGACAGTGAATGCAAATGTTTTCTCCAAACACTACTCTTGGGTTTGCATTCAATGACTGCACAAACACTCCAATAGAGGTCTCTATTCCTCACTCACTATAACTGTCAATACTTTTAGCAAAACTTTTAATTAATAGGAATTTTAATTTATAAGTTATAATTAATAACATAACTGTTATGTAAATTAAAAGTGTAATCAATTATACATTGTATTAAATTATTGATTAAAGCGATTAAATCGTAAACTTCTCTACAAATACTTTATAATTAATTGTGGTTCAGATTCAGTGCTTATACTGTTATAACTTATACTGCAATTTGTTATTACTGTTAGAATAAGAATATTCTTGCAAAATAATTAACACTGTTTTGAAAGCATTGTTATTAAAGTAATTGTTATTAAAAACTGAATAATAAACGAAACAATGATTTTGAAAATTTTAAAAATTTAGCCGTCGTTTGAGTTTTGACTGAAAATTCAAAGTTTGAATTTCAAACACTTGTGACAAACCATGTCTTCACGACGACTACCACTGAATGGTGTCAAACAACTTGGATGTCGTGTGGATTTCACTGTCATCGGTGGCTATAAAGACTTGTCGTGTCTTTATTTGTATTGATTGCCAACCGTTTTGTCCCCAAACTGTGACCATTCGTTCGGTGTCTTCGGTCTATCGTGTAATCGATGGCCAACTGTTATCAGCGCCGACGGGAAACCGTGTGAATCGGTCCCCAATTATGATGATTGTTGTGGTGGGCGTCGGAGACATCCTCTGATTGGACTCCGTTTGTGTGCACTCGTGTGAAGTGTTTGGACGCCATTGACTGCCACTTGAATGGGCGGCACATCTTGTCTATGATGTGATCGGTGGCCAACTCTGACCTCCTGTATGACTGCCACCGAAGGGGAATGTTTGGTCTCCGACTGTAATCTCTTGTGTAACATCGGCGCGAACTATGACTAGCCGTTTGATCGACGTCTGCGGTCTATCGTGTGATCGATGGCCGACTGTGTCTCAGCGTCGGCGGGGAGTCGTCTGAATCGATCCCCAATTGTAAACATTGCTGTGATGGGCGTCGGAGGCATCCGTTTGGTCGGACTCTATATGTGTTCACTCGTGTGGAGTGTTTTGACGCCTATAACTGACCGTCTGATCGGTTGACCGACTTTTGTTGCTTTTGTCGGACGAGTTGACGACACTTTGCGGACTCAGGGAGTGGTCGTCGCATCCATTACTGGGTCCAAAGGTCTGCCGCACCCGGACTTAAAACGGGTTCGCTACCCGTCGGGCTTAACATCGGAGTCGCGGCCCTTCGGGTATCCGATAGCGTCGTCCACCGCCACCGTCGGTACCGCAGACCGTGCGCTGCGATCCGGACCCGGGACTGGCCATCCCTGGGGGCGAAGCACTCCCACTCTGGCCGCGGACTCTACCGAACAGGCATTCAGAGATGGGAGTGCGGAGGTGTGTCCAGTACTTAAGTGGTGGGCGACGTGAAGGTGAAATCGGTGTCGACGCGACAGGAGTTTACTCCCAAACCTTTTCATTCATAGTCTGCATCTTCAGTGTATAAGCTATGAAACCCATCAAACCAATCATTCCTCCATACAAACCGCACAGTAAGCTCTTTTGGCTCTGTATCGCCTCTCAGTGCGTTTAGTCTTCTACTAAACGTCGGTCTTTACCGACAAAAAAAGTGAAATCTTTTATTGAATAAAAGATTTTACAGAAAATTCTGTTTCGATTTCTATTCAATTAAAACCTTTTTGTCTATTAATTTGTTTTAAAAAACAAAGTCTTAAAACTTGTCTATTTATCTCTCGTTTAATTCAAATAATATCATCACTTGTTTGTGTCGCTTAAATGATTAAAAAAATTTCTAATAAAATCCTTCAAAAGTTTTAAGTTATTAACAAAAGGATTGACAAATAAAATTGATTGACGGATAAAAATCATTTAGTGATTTTGCGAACATTTTTATTATTTTTATGTGCATTTGTTTTGTACAGAAAGTATTTTGTAATTATTAAAAATATAAGCATTTCTTGAAAAACTTTTAAAATGACCAAAAATATCAATTAAAACAATAATTCATTAAAAAATATTAAAAACTAATGATTTCCTACTATTAAGAGCCAGAGTTTTCTCGATAATCGTCGTTCAAATCGGGATTAATTCCCTTATTGTTCAATATATTTAAAGCTTTATTGTTTTGAGCGTTAATTTCTGTGTCGACCACTTTGTCGGGCACTGACTGGTGTCCACTTAACCGGTTATACCTTTCATTCATGTCTATTGTGGCGTCTGAATGATCACCGATTGGATCCTCTTCTGATTCACAGCTGTTGAAACAAAATTACAATCAATTTTGTATTATTTATAAATTAAATCAGTTTTGATATGAATGCGAGGAAAGGTATGCTAACCGACACGTGTTGTTATTGAACGAGAATCCAGTTGAACACAACGGCATTGATTTGCATTTGCACTCACAGTCGCTATAATCCCAATACTTATTGTCAAAATTGTGACATTCATTCACATGCGATACGTTTGGACAAAGACATCGACACTCCCTCTCGGAATAGATCTGTTTTGGCAAACAATCCGTCGATTTCTGAATGCATTCACATAAACACGTGTCGTGTCTTTCGATGCGAAACACTTTGAATCCTTCAAACTTGAGCCGCC